TGGATATAGGAACGAATGTCGCCGGAGAGAGTGATAGATGGAGATGGAATGAGTTGCGATTTAGGGATTTAGGTTATGCGTTGCTATTGTTGCGTAGTTATATACCCAAAACATTTGTGTTGCGAAAATAAAACGTGTTGCGAATTCGAAAATCGAGTTGTGAATTCAAAAATTGAGTTGCGAATTTGAAATTCAGTGTTATGAATTTGGAAATCGCGTTGCGAATTTGGAAAATCGCGTTGTGAATTTGGAAAATCGCGTTTTGAATTTGGAAACTGAGTTGCGAAATTGGAGTTCGCGTTGCGAATTTATAGGTCATTTTCGCAAATCCAAAAAAAGTTGATTAAAATCGTATATTATAATGCATTTTCAGTCACTGAAGTTATTTTCTCTATTATTAATTGCTTACCTACTTCTATGTTAAATTGGAAAACCCTTTTGAACTTTTATATCAAAAACAACCTTCCCTTGCCCATTTAAGAGCGTTTGGGTGTTTTTGTTATGCAACTTCACTCACTCATACTGATAAGTTTGGTCCTAGGCTATCCCATCTATTTTTATTGGCAATTCGAATAGGAAAAAGGGTTATATGTTGTTTAACTTGGAATCTAAGCACTTTTTTGTAAGCCGTGATGTTCGTTTTCATGAGTCTATTTTTCCTTTTTCAATTTTCCACTACTTCACCTAGTTTTTTCCCTCCACAATCTTTGGTTGATGATTCGAATTTTTTGGTTCTTAGCCCTCTACCTTCACAGTCTGTTTCTTCACCTGTTGTGTCTGCTTCTTCTTCTCCATCACAACCTAGTGAACCATCATTTTTTCATTAACCTGCTGCTCAAGTTTATCAGCCTTTGGTACTAGAATCTGTTATTTCCCGTCGTTCAACCTGTGAATCAAAAAAACCTTCGTGGTTGCGATAATTTGTTTTCTCTTATCAACACGCTTCACCGTCCAGTCAGGTTATTTCTTCTTCATTTAGTTATAACCATTTACCCCTACATTCATAACATTATATTGCTGGCATTTCCACTGTTTCTGAACCCACCACATATTCTAAGGCCATTAAAAATCCCGTTTGGACTAGTGCCATGGAGGATGAGATCTGTGCTTTGGAATCAAACAATACTTGGTCCATTGTTTCTTTACCGCAAGGGAAGGTGCCTATTGGCTGTAAATGGATGTACAAGGTGAAGTACAATTCTACAGGCAAGGTCGAATGGTACAAAACTCGTTTGGTAGCTAAAGGTTATAGCCAAAAGGAGGTAATTGATTATGTTGAAACATTCTCTCTTGTGGCTAAGATGGTTACCGTTAGAGCCATTCTTTCCATTTCCTCCTTGTTCAATTGGTTCATTTGCCAAATGGATTTGTTTAATGTTTTTCGGCAAGGGGACTTAACTGAAGAAGTTAATATGGACTTGCCACCCAGTTTTTGCAGCTAGGGGGAGCGGATGGTATGTGGGCTGTAAAAGTCCTTGTATGGTTTGAAGCATGCATCGAGACAATGGAATGCGAAGTTAACGGCGGCTTTGTTTAAAGCTGGTTATGTTCATACTAGACATGATTATTCCATGTTCACAAAAAAATAAGGTGATGAGATTGTGGTATTGCTTGTTTACGTGGATGATTTGTTAATCACTGGCAACAATGCGAGAATGATAGAGGATCTCAAATCGATATTAAATCAAAACATCACGATGAAAGACTTGGGTGATATAAAATTCTTTCTCGGAATTGAAGTAATGAGGCCGAAAGAAGGAATCTTGCTAAACCAAAGAAAATATGTGCTAGAACTTATAAAAGAAACTGGTTTGGGAGAAGCAAAGCCAGTATCAACACCTTTAGAACAAAATGTTAAGTTGACCACAAATGAGTATGGTGAAGGAATGCTTCATGGTGATAGTTTGCTTGAAAACAAAAGGGTCTTTTAGAGATTAATTGGAAAGTTGATATATTTAACTAACACATGGCATGACATCACGTATGACGTGCAGCACCTGAGTCAGTTTATGCAAGAGCCGAAACAAACACATATGGAGGAACCATGCGAATTGTGAAATATGTTCAACAAAATCTTGGGCAAGGTTTGATGTTTAAAGCAATAAATGAAAAGCAAAATATTGCTTATTGTGATTCAGATTGGGCGTCTTACTCAATGACAAGAAGATCTGTTACCGGTTTCTGCATAAAGTGTAACCCCTTAGACTGATGTGAGTGACCCAATCCGATTCGAGATGTCACATTAGGACCATTTGAGCTACCCACAGTAAAAATGACGGAAAATTTAAAACTTTTGTTTAAAAACATAAAATCATAAAGAAATTTTTACAAAAAAAATATAAGTTCAGAAAATCCATTCATATATTATAAACAAAATTAAAATCATACAAGTTTTAGACTTAGAATAAAAAACAAATATGACCTACATGCCCCTAATTATACAAGTACCGTACTCTGCAAGTAACGCCGAATGAACTCCCATTGCTGATGTCGATAGTTACATTAGATGGATTCTTTTAACCTGAAATAGTGAGTAAAACAGTGAGTTTTGGGAAACTCAGTAATACAGAAATACCAAATAATGCTGAAGGACATACAGATAAATGACAAACATAAAATTTTCTTATTGATTCAAGCATCTAGAAGTTTTCATGATGAGTTGAGGATCCACTGATATCTCTTCAGGTTATAGACAGGAAACTTATAGTTCAGAGGACCAGGTTCATGAGATTGAAAACAAACGTTTAGTGTATTCCTATAAAAGCAGAAATAATGTACATATAGTTTAAAAACAATAGTAGATTGTTTTAGAAAACAGACTTTTTAAATCACTGTAATACCCTTCACCCTACCATTCCATATGAAATTCCCCATAACATGCATCCATTAGGACTTACCCTAGACCCCTAGAAGCTAGGAGTCGAATATGAATGATCAAAACAGAAAGGAATTACCAGCTAATTGATTTTCAGAACTCCAAACTCATACCCAGACAATGCCTAGTAAAAATCAGATTGAGTAGTAAACAGTAACCAATAATATCAAAGAATTGAAAGCCAAATATATTAAATATCAAAAGAAAAAAAATTAGAGATTAGATGTATTTAAAACTCAAAGTTACCCTCAAACCGTACGTCAAATGTAATTTTTCAGAACAGGCATCCATAAGGACTTACCCTAGGGTCTAAGAGTCCATTATGAATAATCGGAACATAAAGGAATTACCAACTAGCTGAACCTCTAAACTCCAAACTTCTACCCAGACAGTGCCCCAATAAAATAATTTCAAATAGTACTGACAAAATCAGAAGATCATAAATCGGACATTTTACAGTAAAAATAATCCAGAGAACATGTACCAGGAAATTAGAAAATTCAGATCAGTAAAAACAAAACTCAAGAAAAATCAGTAAACAAAACCATGCTTTCAAAATCAGTTAAAACAAAACAGATAAATATGGCACACTAAGAACACACTAGAAGATTCATATATATATTTATGGAGTCGCTTGGTAGTTATCAGAAAGGGAAACATGAAACTTACGCAAATTGATCGAATTTCAGGATTGGGTCCCTATAAGAAGGAATCAATTACTAATAAATCTAATCAGACATTTAGAATTGATGTTTCATAACCATTTATGATTCGGTATATCAAGAAGATATTCAAGAACCTTTATATTAGAGTTATTTAAGATCCATATATAATAGGAGGGATCCCATTATTCAAGCCAATAACGACATTTCAGACAGTTTAATTCCTAGAGAATTCCTAAAAATTTAACCCAAGAAAGGTCAAGAGATGGTGGTTTGTAGTATACAGAATTTATATTAAATTTTTGACTTTAAGCCAAGTCAAACTAATCATATTCCAACATTGTGATACTTGCTAATCATTTGAGCCAAAATGCTTCACAGATATTCACTTCTTAATACTGACTACACCAGTTGAACGAATCTCCCTTAGAATCAACATTAAACATGTCTTTAGAAGATGAACATGTATTTTGGTGGTGTTTAAATTATTTTTAAATTGCAGCATTATCCAAAATAACTAACATGCATGGGTCGAGCTCCGAATTTCAAGGGCAATACAACACTTAGATTCATCAGTGTTTCCAAAATTATCCAAAGACATTGACTTATTTTAAGATTTGAGGGTACTTAGGTCATTTCAGTACTCGAGTTATTCTTGTCATTTTTTAATTCCATACTAATTTGGTCATTCCCATTAATTTAGTTATACAAAGTGCTTCTGGCAATTTGTTCTTCATATATTTATTCAAAACTCAGAAAAATCCATGTATTTTCAACAAAGTTATATGAGTTATCGATGTACTAATTATTCAATAGATTGGAAATTATTCACTAGATTGGAAATTATTTATTATCGACATTCTCATTATTTAACGAGTTATCTTATTCTTATTCAATTTACTATTTTTTTACCATAATTTCGTTTGGGTCCAGAAATAATTAATTACACCTAAATCACCAATCATTGCTTCGATGCATTTACCAATTATCAATGAGTTTCGAAAAGCATATCAAAGGTAGTAGAGTATTACCTCAATTTCTAAGCACATCAATCGACTAATTAAACTCCATTTGAATGTCCTCACACTTGATTTTGACATCCCATAATATCTTGATGACAGGGCAAAACAATAAATGTCAACGTCAACGAACTTAACTCCATTCGAATCGAAAGATACAACGCTAAAAACTGCTTAACGAGTTTGAATTTGCTAAAACGGACTTCAAATTCAGACTCAGGACATCGAAAAACATAAAATATGGCTTTTTTAGGAAAGTTAACTTTTTGGTCAAAGTCAACGATCAACATGTCAACGTCAAAGTCAACGAGTCAATAGGTCCAGGTCAACGGGTTTACTCGGTCTGAGTTAATTCAGTCAACTCAGTCTGAGTTGACTTGATCAACTTGATCCGAGTTGACTCAACTTCCAAAACTTTTATGGGAACGAGGCCCACACGCAGTAATGGCGAGTGTCGGCTCGTGCGACGATGACGAGGGCAGAGAAGGGCGGCTGGTCACTCCTAGAGGTACCAAACGCAAAAATCAGTCCATAATCACTCAAAATCACGCCAAAATAGACTTAAAACAAACATAAAAGTAATAAAAAAAACTTACCCTCAACGGTGAACGATGGAAACAATAACAGTGACGCCATCCATCGGTTAAGTTTAGACCAAAAAGTTATGGGGATCTCAAAAGAGGCAATGGCGAGGCAAACGGTCGTCGGGAATGGTATGAATCAACAAAATTCATTGGCAGTTGTTTAGGTTTTCAGGCGAAGAGGTTGAACTCTGTTGCATGGAGAACGATAACCTTTCACAAAGTAGGGTCGACAGGGGTTTGTCGGACGAGGGAGGGAACTTCAAAGATGGTGGTGGCAGGGTAAATCAGTGATGAAATCATTGGAAATCAAAGGTAAACAACAACGAGTCTTGAATTTTCCCACGAAACTTTAAGTATTTATCTTTGACGATCTATGACAAATCTCGACAAAACACTAAAGGGGTTTTGGTCGGAGGACGGTGGGTAACTGATAAGTGCTTATTTTAGTTAATATTTTACTTTTAAATTAATATTTAATCATTGATTTTTGTGGCTTATTGGTTTATTTTAATTCATTTTTTGTACAGGACGTAAGATTATGTAAATTGCACAAAAAAGACACAATTCTATAGTTTTTTATTTTTGGAATCAAAGCTGGCTGGAATTCGGATTTGGATTAAACTCAAGTTTAGGATAATATTTTAATTATATTTTATCTTTGTATTTTAGTTTAAATAGGTTTTTAGTATTTTAATTAGGATTTAGAATATGATATTATTTTTAGGTATTTTAGTTTAAATAGTTTTAAGTGTTTTAATTAGGATTTAAGATGTTTTAGCTTGTTTTTAGGAATTTGAAGGCTATAAATACCCTCTAAGGGTGAGCCTAGAAACATCTCTCTCTCATTTGAGAATAAAATCTTCTTTTTCTCTCTAGCTTTCTCTCTATTTTTCGCATACTTTTCTATTATGCTAAGTATGATTTTGGTTATGCTTAGATAATCTTCTTTCAAGCCGAAGACTAAAGCGAAGGCTCAATTCCAAACGTGAGAATTGTAAGGTACTTAAATCGCTTCAGATTTTCTCTCTGTTTTCTGAGCTTACTTTTCAAATCAAAACGATTTTGACATTGGTCCGGATATTATTATGGTTAAAGTTTCAAGAAGGATTTGTTTATTGAAGCATATACAACTTCCCGAGAACACACTTAGTAAAATTGTTTGCTAAAAGAAAACTAAGATCGGAATCAATTGTTGTTAAAACGACGCAATCCGATTTGGTAGCGAAGAATTGTTCTTGCAGTAATCGACGTTAATCTTGAAGTAAAAATCAGTTTCGGTGATCTGAGAAATTTGAGACAAAGCTGAAGTCTGAGGTTGCTTTCACAATAAGTTTCCCTTTATCTCAATCTTTTTAATTTGTTTATTTGATTATTTTTCTTTTATTTAATTCTTATTTTTTATTTTAAAACAACTTTTAAAATCCCCTTTTATATTTATTACTATTAATATTTATTATTATATTATTTTTCTTTTTTTATTATTTATTTTATTTTAATATATCTTTTCAACTTTATCTGGAATTACATCTTCTTCTAAAATCAAGAAAGAGTTTTATTAAATCAGAAACACCACAGTCCCTGTGGATCGACCCTGCTTCTCTATACTACTTTTTTATTTTTATTTATTAAAAAGCCATGAATTATTTTGATAGCAAACGACGGTTATCAAATTGGTGCCGTTGTCGGGGACTAACGGCAAGTACTGATTTATTTTTCTAGTTTTTGATTTATGACCAGAAGAAACCCAGGTGAATTAGTAGATCTAAATCCGGAGATCGAAGCAGACGCATACAACATTCTGATGGCAGAAGAACAACCAATTCGAGAACTAGTCACAACACCTGTCACTTAGACGTCATTATGCATTAATTTTCCTAGTGACAGGACTCCGTTTCAAATAAAGACGGCACTCATTCATCTTCTTCCCACCTTCCACGACTTTCCCACTGAAGATCCGCAGAAACACTTGTTGGAGTTCAACATGGTTTGCACTAGCATGAAACCACAGGGAGTTACCGAATATCAAATTAAATTAAAAGCTTTCCCTTTCTCTTTAGCCGACTTGGCTAAAGATTTGTTATTTTATTTACCTCCCAACTCAATTAATTCATGGGCTGACATGAATCGAATTTTTCTTGATAGGTTCTTTCCAGTGGCTAAAGCAAGTGAGTTACGAAGTAGCATTCTTTCCATTCAACAAAAGAGAGAAGAAAGTCTTTTTGACTATTGGGAGCGATTTAAAAAGCTTTGCGCATGTTGTCCACAACATGGATTAAGTGAGCAAACGTTACTTCAATACTTTTATAAAGGTATTTTGCCAATGGAAATGAAAATGATAGATGCTGCCAGTGGAGGAGCATTAGTTAACATGACCCCAACAAAAGCAAGGGAATTGATTTCAACCATGGCAGCCAACTCTCAACAGTTTTCATGTGAACCCAACTGATGGATTCACTAGATAAGTACTTTTTCCCTTGAGAATAAGTTAGACAAATTAACTGAAAAAGTTAATTCACTTGTTGCAGGAAAATCTGGAGCAACAAGAGCATCTGGGATATGCACAAAGCAAGGGAACTTTCCAGGTCCTCCACAAAGACAATACAACCCATATAGTATTGCTTACAATCCATGATGGCGAGACTACCCAAACTTCAGCTATACGGCAAATCAAAGACCAATTTATCAACCAAGGCCTCCTCCTCAACAGAAAACATAAAACTCATCATTGGAGGAACTCATAGGAAAGTTAGCAATTTCACAAGAAAAGCTGATTGCATCCCAGGAAAAGTTCCATAGTCAAACCGAGACACATCTTCAAGAGTTAGATAACCAAGTAAGCCGACTAGCTCAAACTATGAGAAAATTTGAATCACAAGGAAGACTACCTTCTCAAACAGAGGTAAATCCGAGAGAGAATGTTAGTGACATCACACTCAGAAGTCGAAAAGTTATCTCACCCGAAGTTTCAGAAGAAAAAGTTGCACATCAGGAAGAACAAGAGGACATGCCAACTTCAGAAATACAAGGTATATCTTACTCACATCCTTCTCTTTCTTCTCATGAAATCATGCCACCACCCTTCCCATCAAGGTTGATGAAGCGTGATAAAAGAGCTGAAGAAAATGAGATCTTAGAGGTGTACCAAAAAGTTCAAGTCAACATACCTCTTCTTGAAGTAATTTGAAAAGTACCAAGGTATGCTCGATTCTTAAAAGAACTTTACACTACAAAGAGGAAATTAATGGGGCATGAAAAGGTAAATTTGGGAGAACATGTCTCTGCAATTTTTCAACGAAAGCTCCCACCAAAGATAAAGAATCAAGGTATGCTCGCTATACCTTGCAAAATAGGTATTTTAAAATTAAACGTGCAATGTGTGACTTAGGAGCTTCAATTAATGTTATGCCATTTTCTATATATAAAATAATTACTAACGAGCCTTTGAAGGAAACAGGAATAACCATACAGTTGGCTGATCAATTTGTGATCTATCCAGTGGTAGTAATGAAAAACGTCTTGGTAAAGGTCGATGTATTATTTTTTCCTACAGATTTCTATGTCATTGACATGGAACATGATAGGTCGGATTTTTATTCCGAGGTACTCTTAGGCCGAACCTTCCTAAGCACAGCACATACAAAGATCGATGTTAGAGGTGGTATACTAACAATGGAATTTGATAGTGATATCGTTGAATTTGATGTTTACAAAACAATGAAATGCCTTAATCATGTTGAAAGAATTAATTATGTTGATGTTATAGGTCCTTCAATTGAGGAATATATTGAATCTAATCTTTCCATGGATCCTGAACTTTGCCATGAAGAGGAAGAAAGAGAGTTTGAAAATATTCATGCAATCAATTCTGATTTATTTTTACCTTCCTCTAAAACTAAAATTTTACCTTCTGTTTTGCAGGCACCTAGGATAAAACTGAAACAAATGTCGAAAAACTTAAAGAATGCCTTTTTAGGAGAAAATGCTATTTCAGCGGTTATTTCGAATAAGCTGTCAAAGCTAAAAAATATTTGAAGAATAACCTATGAGAATGTCAAATTCCACAAAGAGAAAATAAAAGAATTATACAATCATAGAATTTCTCATAAGGAAGTTCTTAGTTGGAAAAATTGTATGAAGTAGAAGAAGTATTTCTCTTAGAACCTGTAGTCTAAATCAAGTCGTCGAGTTAACGACGTTAAACAAAAGCGCTTTATAGAAAGCAACCCATTTCATTTTATTTTCATTTTCTTTATTTCATTCCATTTATTTTATTTTTAATTTTATTTTTTTTTCTCTAAACAGATTCGAATTCCGATTGAATATTTCTTACCTTCGCCCGGACTCGTCTCGACATGACCATGGTCACGATCACCACTAGATTGGGGAGTATTCTTTTTCCCTCTCTTTGATTTTAAATTTGATATACGTTTTGAGACAAAACGGAATAAGTGAGGGGGGAGGATAAGCATGTGTCAAAATTTTCCTTGACATGTTTAATTGTTTGAAATTGAGTTATTCTGATGTTGATATGTTGGGATCGTTGTTTGCTAGTCTTGATTTCGCTTTATACTCTTGCTTCTTTTTGGATTATGACAATGTTTTTGATCGAATTTAATTTGCATGATTGGTGATTGATATAGCTAGTAAAGTTTTGTTGAGTATTGATATCTCATGCTTTTGTCGATAGAGATGAACTTGACTCAATGCATATAAACTTTTCTTGTGAAATTTGAGCATAACGAGCATACATTTTCTTTCTTCCTCATTGTTTGACTTGTGTATGCCAAACTAATTAGAATATTCTAGAACTTGTAATCGCAATGCATATCGAGACTACATGTTAAATGTAATGTTTTAATGTGATAGGGGCACCTAGGATAAACCCATTCTTCCCAAAAAGCCTATCCATTTATATATCCTCTAGTGAATCACATTTGAGCCTATTTCTCTTTCTTTGTTTTGCACCTCATAATTAAATCCGAAGCCTTTTTTTATTTTTCCTCTCTTTTCACACCCTTGCCGAGACTTGAGATCTTGTATCATTGTTGTTCCATGAAAAAAATCAATGTTTCAAATAAATAAATAAAAAACAAGTTGTTCACTGTTTCGAACAACAACAAAAAAAAAGAAGAATAAAAATACCCTTTGTTCGAATAAAAAACAAAAAAAGGGGAAGGAAAAATCGATTGCTTCAATTGTCTTTCATCTATTCTTTTTCCTTGTTTTGTTCTTCATTGCGCTTCATGCTAATTCGTGGATTATTCTTAATTATTTTGATCTCTTATTTCGGTATTTTAAACCTTTCTTTTCAGTCTTTTCTCTACCCTAACCTAATCCTCGTTACACCTTGTTTAAAGACCTCTTTATTATTGCATTATGTTCATTTTTCGTAGTGGAGACTTGATTGGATTCCAAGCCTATGGTAATATTTTGGTTAATTTTGGTTTGAGCGATTTCATTTAGCCCAAACACTTTGAGCGGATATGTGTGAATCTTTGTGAGGTATTGAGTCATGTTTCATTGAAATTGCCAATTAATTGGGATACCTTGCTTACTTTAAATTTTAATGGTTATGTCTTTGCTTGATTGTAACTTGAATTTGGTAAATGTCATGGACTTAATTCGATTGGAAGTTTGAGGAATAAATTGAAATTGAAGATGACAACTTATGATTTTGATTTGTTAATTGAGGAATGCTTGAGGACAAGCATTTAATAAGTAAGGGGGAATTTGATAAGTGCTTATTTTAGTTAATATTTTACTTTTAAATTACTCTTTAATCATTGATTTTGTGGCTTATTTGTTTATTTTAATTCATTTTCTGTATAGGACGTAAGATTTTGGAAATTGCACAAAAAATGACACAATTCTACAAGGTTTTTTTATTTTCGAAATCAAAGCTGACTGGATTTCGGATTTGGATTAAACTCAAGTTTAGGATAATATTTAAACATTATATTTTATCTTTGTATTTTAGTTTAAATAGGTTTTTAGTATTTTACTTAAGTTTTAGGATATTATTTTTATATTTTATATTTGTTTTAGGTATTTTAGTTTAAATAGGTTTTAGTATTTTAATTAGGATTTAGAATATTATATTATTTTTTAAGTATTTTAGTTTAAATAGTTTTAAGTGTTTTAATTAGGATTTAAGATGTTTTAGCTTGTTTTAGGAATTTGAAGGCTATAAATACCCTCTAAGGATGAACCTAGAAACATATATATCTCTCATTTGAGAATAAAAATCTTCTTTTTCTCTCTAGCTTTCTCTCTATTTTTCGCATAGTTTTATATTATGTTAAGTATGACTTTGGTTATGCTTAGCTAATCTTCTTTCAAGCCGAAGACTAAAGAGAATGTTCAATTCCAAACGTGAAAATTGTAAGGTACTTAAATCGCTTCGGATTTTTTCTCTGCTTTTTTAGCTTACTTTTCAAATCAAAACGATTTCGACACTTAGCAAAATTGTTTGCTAAGAGGAAACTGAGAACGGAATTATTTGTTGTTGAAACGACGCAATCCGAGTTGGCAGCGGAGAATTGTTCTTGCAGTAACCGACGTGAATCTTGAAGTAAAAATCAGTTTCGATGATCTGAGGAATTTGAGACAAAGTTGAAGTCTGAGGCTGCTTTCACAATAAATTTCTCTTTATCTCAATCTCTTTAATTTGTTTATTTAATTATTATTTTTTATTTTAAAAACAACTTTTAAAAATCTCCTTTTATATTTATTACTCTTAATATTTATTATTATATTATTTTTTATTTATTTTATTTTAATATATCTTTTCAACTTCATCTGGAATTCTATCTTCTTCTAAAATCAAGAATTTTATTAAATCAGAAACACCACAGTCCTTGTAGATCGACCTTGCTTCTTTATACTACTTTTATTTTTATTAAAAAAGCCAGGAATTATTTTAATAGCAAACGACGGTTATCAGTAACGATGCGGTGTTGACAGTGCAAGTCACTGTCAATCAGAGCACGGTGGAGTTGGGGGAGTAAGCAACAATGACCATAGGGTAAAAATTAGTTTGGGGATTTAATTTTGATTAAGAGAAAAATTTAGGGATCTAAAATCCCAAACAGATAACTGAAATGATATTTTTACTCAATCCCATATGCTATAATAACCTAGCCTAGATGGGTAGGGCTTAGGGGAATGTCCAAGGGCATGGGCTCAAGCTTTCAAAACCACATGTTATATTTTTTTCTTTGCTGGCAGTTATGGTCAAATCGGGGAAGAAGTCCATAAACTTTCAGGGAAATTCAAAAAATGTCTTAAGACTTTGAAAATTCATAATTTGGTCCCAAAACATTAATTAAAATATCAAAATTTAAATCGAATGAAAAAACTGGGGTGTGACACAAAGCTCGGTGATTCTTTAATTTCATGGAAATCGAAAAAACAGAATACCATTGAAAGATCCGCGGCTGAAGCAGAGTATAGAGGGATGGCTGCCAGTGCTGCTGAATTGGTATGGCTTAAAGGGTTAAAGGGTTATTTAAAGTCAATAAAAATGTTTCGTGACAGCAGAGCAGCGCTATAAATTGCAGCTAATCCTATTTTCCACAAATGAACTAAGCACATTGAAATCGACTGTCATTTTGTTCGTGAAAAAATACAGCAGGGGCTGATATGTACAAAACATCTCATCAACAGAACAATTAATTGATATTATGACTAGGGCTCTAGTATCGCAACAACAAGCTTATCTATGTTCCAAGTTGGGTGTAAAAAGTTTTTTTCACCCACTAACTTGAGGGGAGTGTAGAGATTAGAAACTAACTTCTGTAAACGGTTTCAGGGTAGTTAGACTTTTCTGTTAGGACGGTTAGACAAGTTGTATATATATGTACTTTTTATACTTTTGTTATTGATGAATATACAGTAATTCTTCCAGATCTTATACTTCTTTTATTTGACACATTTGTCCCCCGAATATTACCACCACATGTTGTAAAGCTTGTGAATGATTTTCGTGACCCATTAGTATTAATTTTGCACCATCCCGTAGGCAGAGAGATCTATCTTTTTAAACCAAGAGTCCTTTGATGATCAGTGGTCGGCCTTTTATGGTTTTTTCGAGTATGAACAACTTCCAGCATCAGTCGAGTGCTTCTCTGGGCTATGCTTTCGACTTTCACCAAACCTGGCTCGAAGATAGCTCGATTATGTCTTGGCTCACTGCGTTATATGATTGAACCAAACAAAATATCCCACTCCTTGTTGTCTTTAGGAAAAACTGTTGGTTTTAGAGGTTTTTAATGATCCAATCCATCAATTTTGGAAACCATCTAGCTTCTCTGGTAATATCAGTTCATTCCAAACATTTCGGGCTAGATAGCACTCACTGCCGCATATTACATGATAGGAATTCTTCCAATCTGTTTGGTTTAATCAACTATTATCATGTTGCTAAGGCTAGAGGCAAGGTTCGTAATACGAGGCTAGTATCCTCGACTTCTTCAAAACACTTCCAGCAGCTAGCATCCATTGTTATATGTCGGTAGGACCTTTCGGCGTTAGTGACCTGCCAGAGGAATATTTTAATTTTTGGCAAGCTATGGAGGTTTGCAATAGTAAATATTAAACCCAAAGCTATTACTAATTTACGGCGGAGGAGGCACATTTTTTAAAAAGTAAATATTGGTCTTAGAAGTGCTTACTTTATGGTCAGAGCTTTTGCAGAATTTTTATATAACGTCTTTGATTACATTGAGTTCTGATAAGTCTGTTTCCACAAAGAGAAAAGGTCATTGACAAAGAAGAGTTGGGAGATACCGGGTTCTGTTTTAGAGAGTTTCACCAGTTTCCATGCCCATGTTCGATTTCTTTTGTAATAGTCCAAGCTAAAATTTCGATGCAAAAAAACAAATAGGTACGGTGATAATAAATCTCCTTGTTTTATGCCTCTTGAGAGTTTGAAGGATTCTGATAGGGATTCAGTCCATACTATTTGTGTTAATATTGATCTTCCATTATGACTATTATTAACCGGGTTGATAAGCCAATGTCTTGAAGCGTGTCTTCAGTAAAATCTCAATCAAGATGATTATAAGTTTTTTCTAAATCAATTTTAATAATCATTCATACTTCGTCTACTAATTCCTTGAGCGAGGATTATATTATCTGTAATTGAACACCCATGAACAAAACTTGTTTGATTATATTGTCCGTAGTCAAATTATGTTAATTTTTAGTCTTTATACATATCAATATTAACATATCCTAAGTTACATGTATATAATTTTTACATTTTAAAACAAAATAATTTTCATAAAAGAGGTCAAAATTGAATTTCTGATCGCACTATGATTTTCTAAGTAACCCAAATAAGGTTGTCCAGATGGCACTATCATTGAAAAACTTAAATCTTAGATTGTTTCTCAAGAATTCCATAAACATGCATTTAACTCGTAATTTCATAAGTCATCAAAAAATTGAATCTAAAAAAATAAATACTTAACCAAAAGTTAAAATAAAAATACATACTAATGAATTAAAGAGTGATCACATCAAATTTTAATATTAGTTTTTATTTGGTTAATATTTTGCTATTAGTTAATCCCTGTTACATCATTTTATAGTGCTAATTTGAGTTGTTTTTATTCGAATCTATGCAACACTCTATTTTCCAAAAAATAACAATTAAAAGCAAAATTAAACAGATTTTCTTATTTTTTGGGAAAATTCGGTGCAAACTCAGATTCAAGGATTGATCCGAGGAGAAGCTCTAATTAAATAATCCAAGTAGTAAGATCAAAGGAGGAAAGAAGGCAAACCACAATTTTTAAGAATTAAAAGTTATAATTGAATTTAAACATTTGAGATTTTATTATTTTATTAGTGACATAGTTTGCATAGGATTTTAATATTTATTAATTACAATTTTTAATTAGGATTTTTAGTTGGTTAGAATTAAGAGTTTGAATACTCTTGAGAGTTAGTATTTTAATTTCATTATGTTAACTAAAGCTATAAATACCCTCTAGGGGTGAAGCTGTAGAGGTGTACATGTTTAGAATTTAGTAGTATAAAACCGATTCTGACTTTTCTTTTGTTTTCGGTTTTCAGTTTAATAAAAATATTTTTTTTCTTCGTCTTATTTCTTATTGCTCAAGTTGGGAGGCAGTGACATGGTTTTAGGAGTGGATTGGATGAAATTATTCAGTCCAATATTAATGGACTTCAATAACATGACTTTAAGTTTTGACCATGGAGGGCAGCAAATTTGTATTCAGGGACAACAACCCTCAACTGAACTGCAACAAATTTCAGGGGCTACATTACTTAAAATGAGTGCAGGGGATTCTGCTCTTATAGGACATATTGTCCTATTTACTATGAAAGGGCATTCTTCTTCAATTCCTACTGAAATCCAACACCTATTGGATAAATACAGACCAGTTTTTGCTGAACCTGTTGGTCTACCTCCTCAGAGGTCTCACGACCATGCCATTCCACTTAAACCTAATGCCACACCTGTTAATCTAAGGCCTTATAGATTTCCTTATAATCAGAAGGCTGAGGTTGAGAAACAGATAGCTACTATGCTTACTTCTTCTATTATTCAACCTAGCAGGAGCCCCTTTGCCTCTCCTTGTCTTCTTATTAAAAAGAAGGATGGCACTTGGAGATTTTGTGTGGACTATAGGCAACTCAACAGTCTGACTGTCAAGGACAAATTTACTATTCCTATTGTGGAGGATCTATTAGATGAATTACATGGGGCAATTTATTTCTCAAAGATTGAATTGAGATCAGGTTACTGGCAAATTCGAATTAACCCTGAAGATATTTACAAGACAGTCTTTAGAACACACCAAGGCCATTATGAGTTTAAGGTAATGCCTTTTGGGCTTACTAATGCTCCTGCTACCTTTCAAGCTCTTATGAATGATTTATTTAATTCCTTCCTTAGGAAGTTTGTTTTAGTTTTCTTTGATGATATCTTGGTGTATAGCAGCAGTATGAAAGACCATGTTGAACATTTACAGTCAGTTTTGGAAGTTTTGCAAAAGAATCAATTATTTGCAAAATTGTCCAAGTGTTTTTTTGGGCAGACCAAGGTAGAATACCTTGGCCATATTATTTCTGCTGCAGGAGTGTCTACTGATCCTAGTAAGGTGGAAGCCATGCAAAATTGGCCTAAGCCTAAAACCCTTAAATCTCTCAGAGGGTTTCTAGGTCTGACAGGTTATTACAGAAGATTTATTAAGAATTATAGCATTATTAACAGACCATTGATGTTACTGCTGAAGAAAGATGGCTTTCAATGGAATCCTGCTGCTCATACTGCTTTTGAAAATCTTAAGAAAGCTATGTGTTCTGCTCCAGTTTTAGCATTGCCTGATTTTTCTAAGACATTTTCTTTGGAGACAGATGCTAGTTCTAGGGGTATTGGGGCTGTTCTTTCACAAGAAGGTCGACCTATTGCTTATTTGAGTAAAGCTTTAAGCCCTAGAGATTCAACACTATCTATTTATGAAAGAGAATATCTTGCTATTCTCTTAGCAGTTTCTAAATGGAGACATTATTTGGAGAGCTGGCCATTTGTTATTAAAACAGACCATGAGCCCTTAAAGTTTCTTTTGGAGTAGAAGTTGACTACTACTATTCAAAAGAAAGGGTTGACAAAGCTTTTGGGATTAGACTATACTATTCAGTAGAGAAAAGGAAAATTAAATGTGGTTGCTGATGCTTTATCTAGAAGGTGGGAAGATCAAGCTCAATGTTTAACTATGGGTGTAACAGTCTTAGTTCCTACTTGGGTTCAAGAGGTTGAAGACAGTTATCAAAATGACTCACTGGCTCAGAATTGGTTTTCAATTTTAACTGTTGATTCAGCTGCTGACAGTAAATGGAAATTTTCTAAGGCTATTCTTAGATATGATGGGAGAGTTTATATTGGATCTAATGGAAGCCTTAGAGTAAAGATCATACAGACTTTGCATGACTCTCCCCAAGGGGGACATTCAGGTATACAAGCTACCTATTACAGGATAAGGTCAATTTTTTATTGGCCAAGTCTTAAGTCTATGGTTATTGTTTTTGTTAGATGCTGTCAGACTTGCCAACTAACTAAAGTGGAACATATTGCAAAGCCTGGATTACTACAGCCATTGCCTATTCCTAATCAGGCCTGGGAAATCATCACTATGGATTTCATTGAAGGATTACCTACTTCACTTAAGAAGAACTGTATATTGGTCATTGTGGATAAATTTACCAAATACAGTCATTTCCTATCACTATCTCATCCCTATTCTACAGCAGAGGTAGCTAAACTCTACTTGGATAATGTGTATAAATTGCATGGCCATCCTAAAGTGGCCATTTCTGACAGAGACGGAACCTTTACTAGTATATTTTGGAAGGAACTGATGAAACAGTTGGGTACTAAGACCCTTTTCAGTACTGCTTATCATCCTGAAACGGATGGACAAACAGAAAGGGTTAATCAATGTCTAGAACAATATCTTAGAGGGCTTTGTTTCTATCAGCCTAAGAAATGGGCTAAGTGGTTACCTCATGCAGAGTGGTGGTATAATACCACTGATCACACTGCCCTAAAAATTACACCTTTTCAGGCTTTGTATGGGTACAAACCACCTATCATGGTTTGGACCACAGATACTGCAATACAATCAGTACAAGATATTATGACAAGTAGAGAGAATATCAGATAATTGGTCAAGCAACAATTAGAATTAGCAAGCAACCGTATGAAGCAACAAACATATAAACAAAGATCAGAAAGAGTTTTTCATGTGGGGGATATGGTTTACCTAAAGCTACAGCCATACATACAGACTTCATTAGCCATGCGAAAAAACCTAAAGTTAGCAGCTAAATATTTTGGGCCATATAAAGTCCTGGAAAAAATTGGTGAAGTGGCATATCGATTACACTTACCAGATTCATCAAGACTTCATCCAGTGTTCCATGTCAGCCTTCTGAAGAAATTTATTGGGAATTCCTCTAATGTTGCAACGGACCCTCCTGCAATAGATGACAAAAGACAGTTCAGAGTTCAACCTTTAAAGGTTTTGGCTAAGCGTATAGTGAATCGAAACAGTAAGCCAGTCACTCAACTTCTAGTTTGATGGGAGAATTTGGATGAATCAAATGACACATGGGAGGACTATACAGTTCTAAAAGGTTAGTTTCCTGGATTTGATCCTTGGGGACAAGGATCTTCTGATGGGGTGGGTATTGTTATAGTCGGAGGAGAAGAAGAACGGCGAAGAGAAGAGGAACGGCGAGGAGAGAAGAGATTGGGAATGGACGAGAGAGGGGAGGAATTGGGAATGGTTGCTCGAGGATTAGGGATTGAAAATTGTAAATTGGGAATTAAATCAAAAGAGGGTCGGATGATTGAGTTACCTGAGGAGGTGGAGCGGGCTGAGTTGGAGCAGTACAGAAGCAATGAAGCGGCCCAGATCAGATGGCCCAATGCAGGCTGAGAAGAGAAATGATACAAAGCAAAGTTTGTTAGCAATCTGTTAGCAGTAAAGCCAGCTGGCAGAATTTAGATTCCCAATACTGGTTTTGTAACTAAATAAAAATCCATGCTTGTAGTCATTTTATGCTTAGAAAATGAATGAATGAACTTTCTTTTCTTTGAATCCTCTCCTATTCTCTCATTTTTCTCTCGAGCTCTTCTCTATTTCTTCTATTCTATAACAGAAAGTGATTCTGATGATGGATTTCCAATGATAAAGATTCTAAAAGACCTGAAAGATAAGATTAGGAAACCATGGAAAAGAGCTTTGATAATCAAGATTCGTGGTAGAATTCTTGCATATAGAATGTTGATTTCAAGACTCACATCTCTATGGAAACTCGAAAGTGATTTCAATTGTATTGATCTTGGGAATTGTTTCTATACGGTGAAATTTGAAAATATGGAAGACAAACTTAAAGTTCTTAGGGAGGACCTCGGAAAATTCTTGATCATTACGTGACGGTTCAGAAATGACAACAAAAACTAGCATAGAATCTACGGCAGTGTGGATACATATTCCGGGACTGCCGATTGGATATTTCGACTAAGTGATTCTAATGGAAATTGGAAAATTAATAGGTGTTTCCTTAAAGATTAATTTCCATATAGCTTGGTCAACTAGTGGAATATTTGCAAGAATTTGCGTAGAAATCAACTTAAACAACCCGCTTCTCGCTAAAGTTAAGGTTGGTAAAAGAGTTCTAAACATAGAATATTAAGGGCTTCATGAGATCTATTTTAAATGCGGACTGGTGGGACATAAACTGTCGAATTTCCCTCTATCACATATGGAAGAAACTAAGAATAACAAAAAAGAGAAACCAGAGAACCAAGAAGCTGATACAAATGAAGAGCAAGAACCCAGTTGTGATACGAATATTAAGGACAAAGAATCATCAACTGGGAATTTTGGTCCATGGATGCTCATTCAAAGGCAACAAAAAGGCTTTAAAGGAAATACGAGATATCAAAGACATGATCAGCAAGGGAATCGATATGAAAATACATTCGAAAACCCAACCAACATGGATGCCGAAGATATAAACCCAGATCCTAGGAAAGCTTAAAATGATCAAATGGAGGAGGGTACCTAAAATCAAACTTTTAAAACCAAAGAAGTTGTGACTTCAAGAGCAGAAACCTTATGAAAAAAATAAGGGTAAAAACCTTTTAACCCCTAGCCAAGCCTCTGAGTTACACCGGAAGAGACATTCAAAAGAAAGGGAAAGAGAATAAGGATAAGGTCGAGAATTCAAAAAATATCCAATTCAAAGGAACAAATGAGAAAGATAGAGAAAATCGAAGGAAGTTTTGGAGAAAAAGATAAACCAACCTACTGAACATGCAAGGAACAAAGATCAAAAAATTGAAAAATCATCGAAAATGAACAGTAATAATGATGAATTAACTCGAAATAATATAGATATGGATAAGGACATGCAACTCACAAACATGAAGAATGAATCTGAAACTAATAAAATAAGTATTATACATGAGATTTAGTGTAACATCCTAAACCTGATTAGGCCTAAAGTGCCACACAAGCCACCAAACCCTAATTTTTAAAACCTATTCATTTCCTTCTTAAAAATAATGAATTGTATCATAGTTAAAACATAAAGAACTGCCCTAAAACATTTTACAAAACTAGAGCTCCGTGACACATGGTTTAAACCAAAATATTACAAACACTGAATTTAATAAACTGAATACATAAATAAGGTTCTATAAATATACATGCCCACTAAAGCTACAATACAATACTCAGTGAGAGATGCTGGAAGTCTTGCTTCGAGTTCCAAGAAGTTATTTTTTCAATGAAAGGTTTAAAAGCACCTAGATCATATGGCATTCAGTCGATCTTCTACAAAAGAAATTGGGATATTGTTTAAGATACCTGCTAAAATTTGTTCAAGAAGCATTTTTGTATGGCAAAGTATATTCCCTAAGTCTCAAAGTTTACCTTGTCCTAATTCCTAAGGTTAATGCAATGAACAAAATCTCCTTGTTTCGTCCAATTCATTTATTCATCACATCATACAAAATCGCATCGAAGACCTTAGTGTTACACCTAAGACCAATTCTACAAAGAATAGTGGGTCGTATCAAAACAGTTTCTTGGCAAGCAGAAGTACAACATAAAATATTTTAGTTGTTCAGGAGGCTATCCATACTCTAATGAACCTAGAGGGGAGGAAAAGAGATGCAATTCTTAAAATTGATTAATAAAAGGCGTATGACAAAGTTACCTAGCAGTTTATTCAAAAGATCCTCAAGTAGTTTAATTTCCCACAAGAAATGATTAACATCATTATGTACTACATGACGTCTAGCACCGTTGAACCCCTGTGGAACGGTGAAACAACTGAGAGCTTTGAGTCGGGTCAAGGATTACGACAAGGCAATCCTTTGTGGCCCTATCTTTTCATTTAGTCATGAAGAGATTGTCTCACATGATACTTGAACAAGTTGATAACAAAAATTGGAAGGCTATCAAGCTTTCAAGGAGAAGACCAAGTATTAGCCATATTTTTTATATCGATGACCTCCTCCTGTTATAAAACCTAAGAATGAGCAAATATGTCATGCAAGCCAACTTATGGAAAAATTTGGTCGAGCCTCTGGGTTAGAGGTAAATCTTCTAAAGTCTAAACTATTTTTTTCACCTAACATTGATCTTAATTTGGCAGGTCATTTGAGCGATCTATGTCGAATTCCTCTCACAAGCGATCTTAGAGTGTAATTAGGTGTTCTAATCATCCACGAGAACAAGTGCAAGTACTTACAATCTGTTGATTAATAAAATTATTAAAAAACTTGCTAGCTAGAAACGGAAGGTCTTATCAATGAAAGGTGAAGAACGATGATACAATCTATGATAACAGCCATTCCTATACACTATGTGCAAACGACTCTCCTACCAATGGCAACGTGTAGTTGAATCAATCAGCTTAAAACCATTTCCTATGGGGCGGCAGGATGGAGTATGGGAGAAATCACTTAGTGAACTAGAATTTGGTTTGTAATCCGAAAGCTAGAGGGTCTTGGTCTTCAAAAGGCTAGGGGTATGAACTTAGCGATGCTTACTAAATG